GCCAGGGGGATCACTGAGCCGCAGAGTCACTCAGGAGCAACCGCTTCATTTCAGGTTGCGCCTGTTAGGACAACAGGTAAACAAGCTTCGGGTGGGCTCTCCCATCCAGCAAAGCCCTGTTGGGAAAAAAGACTCCCTTTTGTAGAGCGGTCTGTTCCGATACAATCTCGAGCAGTTGCAGGCTCTTTTAGATGAATAGCTTGGGGGCTGGGTCTTCCGCGCCCCGTAAGCTTATTTTAATCAGCGATGCGAAAGTTAAAATATTTGTTCAATAAGTTCAAGCAGGTAGCTGTGTCAGAGTGCGCAGGCTGCAAGGAAACAGGTAAGTTTATTCCGTGCTGAAAAGAAAAGAGACGAAACCTTCGGCTGTGGAGCCTTCTCCTGAACCCTTGACACCTGAAGAAGCCGAAACGTGCTGGGGCGGTGCGGTAGCTCTGTGGCTGGAAGGTTTGCTGGTTCGTATCCCGCGGCCGGCAGAGGAATCCTACTCCGTTGGGCCCCTGAGCAATGGCCGACCCTGCGCTCTGACCCCCAGCTTCTCTCCCTGCCTGTGTGTCTCATGGAGAGCAAGCTGGGGTCTGCGAAAAGACACATTCCCAATACAAGAGATTGTATATGGCCAATAAAGTGATCTGACATCTGACATCTGACAACATTGTGTCTCTTTCCATTCAGCATGGAATTAACCGCAATGGTTGAACTTCTAAAGATCTGAAACATATCTGAATGGAGTTGGTATGCAACTCGTGTCCAGAAATCTGTTCTCCAAGTCTGTGTTTCAGATATTAAGACCTGTTTGTAGTGCTTTGTTGAATTGTTGTTTTTAATCGAATGCTTTGAGTGTCTTATTGAGTTTAAATCGCACCCTCTCGATGTAGCGTGATACTCAATTATATACAACAGTTATCACACAAAGTTAGTCCGACATTTTGTGTTCGGGTAAAGGCGTATTATTCGTGCTTTACCATGCCTGATACAACTACGGCGCAGGTTAAGTGTTAATCGAGCTGGTGGGACTGAGCTTGTGCGGCCACCAGAGGGCTCCTGTGTGCAGGCGCGGTCTCCACCAGAAAGAGCTTGCACTTTTTTTCAATGTATAAGAAACACGCAATTCCTGTGAGCTCTTAAAATATAATAAACCCACGAGAAAAGTGCATTATTGTTGCATCACGTATTATAACTGTGGACGTGTAGAGCGAGATGTGGGTATGATCAATAATGCTCATTTTATGAAAGCGGGTTTTGCAAAGAAGGCGCCATTTTATTACACCGTAAAAGCCAGGATCTCCAGCGGTTCAAAGTCATTCGGTCCCTCAGATCTTAGGAGACGGGTTTCGTTCAAGTAGGCGACACAGCAGAGAAAGAGTACAGATCACGGACGAGACCACAGACACGGCAGTCGTGCACAGCCAGCGTGCTCCAGTAGCCCTGGAAAAGCCCTGCTCTCTGTACAGCTGTACCAACTCTCCGGCTGGAGTCCCCTGCTCGCTCTCTGCTCTCCGTGGCGCCGAGCGTCAGTAAACCAGCACCCTGCCTGGGCAGGGAAGGTTGTCTCTGTTGCAGGCATGGTTGTCCATGCTTTAGAAAACGTGAATACAGCGTTTTCCCCACCGGTTTTTAAAACCTGCTTAGGCGGTCGTCCGGTAGGTAACAGCCTTGGGAGTGAACTGTCTTGTCGCTTGTTGACTCGCAGGCTCGGGGACCGCTGCTCTTCCCTGCGCTGTCAAAACCCCCTCGTACCGTACGGGCTGGAGCGTCAGGCTCAAGGCAGGGCGCCAGTCCACCGCAGGGCGTACAAGTGTAGAGTTAAGGGACAGCCCTGTCTTTAGCATGAGGGAGGAAAGCGCAATCCCGAGAGGAAAGCCACGCGAGCGCGGGAAGAACATGCAAACTCCTCACAGAACGCCCTGCGGGCCAGGTTCGAACCCGGAACCGGGGTCTTGTGAGGCAGCGACTCTCACCACGACGCACCGCTCTCGTGCTGTATCTCCTGACCAGCAAACGCAATGGCATTCATCATAAAATACGGAGATGTATTTATGTTGTACAGTAACGTCTCGTTACGTCTCAATGTTATTGATTGCGC